CGGGGGGGGGGGGGGGGTTAAGGATACCCAAATACTCAGATTTGGAAGATATCCAGATATTAAATACCTAAAATGTTGAAACTATTGAAATACTAAATACTTAAAACTCAATGACAATAATTACTCGGTGGCTAGGGCTAGATGGCTTATGCAATTGCATTTGCAGCACTACCGTGCTTCCACATTTCCACTTTTCGTGGAAAAGTGCCTAGAGAATATCTTGATTCTCAGATTTTAGAGATTTCCCTTTATATTTCCTTCAAACTGAAAAGTTTTACAATAAAGTACCAGTCATAAAGTATGTGTACCGGGGGTGTTGGAGGATAAATTGTGTGTGTGTGGGGGCGGGGGGTGGGTGTGAGTTGGTTCGAAACAAATTATCTAACTTTGGGGGGGGGTACAAAACTAAAAATAAGTCTAATACTATGTCTATAAAATTGAGTGTATGTTCTTAAATAATTAAATTGCAATGTAGCGCTAGCGCAGTAGCATTATGAAAGTAGTCGATCGGAACCTATTTACTAATTTTGTAGTTTGACATCTCCGCAGCCTGAACAGTTTTTGATTACGTAATTTTACCGTCCGGTAGCTCCCCTACTAGTTTAGAATGATTTAAATATTGAAAAATATATGAAATACGTCACGACGTTCTGTTGATATTTCCATAAATAATGCGCATGACTGCCGGGGACCTCTTTTGACCCTGTTATTAGATACGGAAAAGATACCGTCAGGCAATTCATATTAATGGAATACTGGCAAGCCGACAAAAGTACGAATTGGATACATGTGGTGTAAAAGAGCACTATTAAATTTATGGAAATACTCAAAACAACTACTTTCCGCCTTCTCGAAATTCATATTTTTTTTGCAACAACAATATAAATGACTGGTGTTTTGTCTTTTGAGCTTTTTTGTATAAAAATTGGTATTAAGATTTTGAGTAATGTTTTTTCTTTTTCTATATCTGAGCCAGATCTAGAATGCGGGGTCCTCCGTCATCCTTCTACTGGACAAATTTTTAAAACTGATAAAACTCGCATGGTTACAAACAAAATATCGGCAATATACCGTAAAGTTTCGTTTATTTATGGGCTTTTCGAGCTGTACTTTGACAAAAAAAGGTTGGAGACAAGTTAGTAAAATTATCCTATGTAGTTTATATTTGTGTGGTTTTTAAAGTTGGTTTCTTTCTGCTTTTAATAAAATACGTAGTTTATTTCGTGTGTGTATTTCAACAAGTTCAAAGTTTTGCTTGCCAACCGCTTTATAGGATACTATTTATGTGATATCGCTGTCCGTGATGAGGCGCACAAAGTGATTATCTTTAATCCCGTCTTTAAATTAATAAGCTACAAATATTTTTTACTGCAGTATTTATGTAAATTAACTGATAACTTCTTATTAACCGAACGCGAGGTCTGTGGTAGTCTGCACAGAGAAATGTCGGACCGAGGTCTTTTTCGTACAGACCGAGTCCGTAGGGCGAGGTTTGTACAAAAAGACCGAGGTCCGATATATCTCTGTAGACCCTCTGTAAATACCGAGCAAGGGAGTTAATAAAAAGTTTATTATATGGCATTTATAGGCATTTATACTTGAAACAAACAAGAAATGCATGATTTGAAATGCATATTAATAGCGTGGTACACATTTGGTCGAAGAAAACAAAAAATACCAATGTATTATTCCCTCTTTTCCACTAAAAACCATTCGTAGATATCTTATTAATAACAAATTAAATGATAATTTTCAAATGATAGTTTTGCTGTTTTGTTTTAAAATGCCTGCGTTTGTTTTTACGTAATGAACCGCCAGTCCATCACGGGGAAATAATGGACCGCTGAAAGTGCTTTTCAGCCAATCACATTCCGCCATTTCACCGGAAGTGATGCTTGCCATATAATAACAACATTTTATGGGACCCTATGGCTCAACAAGATACCGAATACGCGTAATTAACTGTCCCGATACCATACACCCAAAACCCCTGGCCGGGCCTGATAATTACTTCTCTTTTAACGCTCTGTTTCACAGCAAACCATGCCATATTTGGGCAAATTAATTATGATTTTACGATGTACTTGGTAATGCACGAAAAATTAAACAACCGGGGAAATTTGGAGAAAATTGGGACAATTTCGGGGGGAAATGCGGCAAATTCCGGGAAAAATTGCAGCAAATTCGGGAAAACCGGGGTTTCAATCAGCTAATAAGCCATAAAAATTTGCGTACGCAGAATACAATAATTCTACTTACCCATGCTGCTTTGCCAATAAAGCCTTTGGAACCAACCGTTTAAGAGCTTCAAAACATTCATCCTTTCTTGACCGATGACTAAGCGCTACAGCTGATTGAATACCAGCATATATCTGCATATCTACACTATCGTTAAATCCCTGAAGAAAATTGCCACATTCCTCCCAACGATAGTTGGCTGACATAACACCGGATTTATTCATCAACAGCTTATATCTTGCACTATGGAAAATAGTCGGTTTAAAGGGCTCTGGTACCGAGTCAACACAGCTTGGCAATTCACGTTCTAGTCTGTCAACTCGACGATACAACTTTGAAATGATTTCGCTATTGTTGGATGTTGCAGTGCTAGACCTGGCATATTTATTTCTTGCCTCAACTTTAGGAATAGATATGTTCATTTTGAATTCTAATCTTTCGAGATGTTTATCAAGTAAGTGTAAACTATTGTTATCTTCCTGGAGCAATTTCTTATACTTGCCAAGATCGTCCGTAAAGAATTCAGTCTCTGTTCGCAACGCTTTCAATTTTCCGACCAAAGGATCTGACCTTTGTAGCAAATCTTCCACAGCTCGTTCTAAAATATCGAAGATTCTCTGGAAATTGTTTTGAGCAATTGACGCTTTGCAGGCATGTGAGAGCACGGTGTTTCTGACCTCCTTTATTTCATGTATGGCATTTTTTACCCTTCTCCAATGTCGGCCATTATCCCGCATTCCGCTCAAAGCGTACGAGTAGAGCAAAGCAAAAACCAACGTTGTTACATCCCATTGCTCCATGTCTCCATGCCGCAAATGATCCTTTATGGCTTGATAATCTTTCGCAAATTTCGGATCATACAAACGCGATAAAGGTTGTTCTTCGGCAAGCATCTGTGATCCACTTGTTCCGTCATTTCGCCATGGCGTAAGAGGATAAAGATAGTTCCATTCTTGCTTTAACACTTTTCTCAGGGCAGCAGTAGAATGATTTACAACACCTTTGGCTAACCTAAAGTATCCCAACTCGTCTTTAGTGTATATATTTGTCGACATTTTCTCCTATTTGGCCAGGAATCTGAAAGCACTTGCCCTTACATCGTCGATCACATATTGATGATGCAGTGAGACTTTCCCAATGCATTATTGCAATATAAGCAATATTGAAGATGCAGTGCGATTTATTTCCTACTGCATTATTGCAATATAAGCAATATTAAAGATGCAGTGGGACTTTCCCACTGTATAATCAAGGTAGTCAATTTATCCCGGGCGTTCTGTGACTCTCGTCCGCGATCATATCAGATCATGTCAGCGGCATCTAGTAAATTAGTTAAATAACATCGCCCGAAGTTCGAAGGTTTTACAAGGTTTTTACTCAAAATTCCAAAGTAATTTTACCACTTTAGGAAGTGGAAATATTCCCAGATACATGGGCCATCATTCCAAAACCGTATTTACCATCAAAGAACAAATATGACTGGTTTATACTAGTTTATTTTGTCTAAAAATACATTCCCATGTACATGCAAATTAATACATCCTCTGAGAAAATTCACAAACTAACCTCTGTGAAATTTGAAGTCCTTAACGTGTCTAGAAAAACAATAAATGCCATAACCATCACAATATTTTATACTAAATGTGAGCGGATCGTTTTATTTATATATGTGACCACTATATATTTAGATTTTCTGCATTTGTTCGTCTAGACGACTTGTCCGTCTTCTAATGTGAAAACGGCTAATTAGTGAAATCAGTGAAGAATTAAATAGCGAGTATTAATCTTCGAAGTAATGATACTGATCTAGCACTTCCAAAACCTAAAACAAACTATCTTAAACGAAGTTTTAAGTATAGTGGTGCAATGCTGTGGAATAGTTTTCCTTCTGAGGCGAAAAAGGCATCCTCGCTTTACCAATTTAAATGCAGTATGCCCACTATACCGGAGACTAGGATGTGAGTTCAGATAGTTTGTAAGTATAACACGCCAGATCTGAAAATCAACCATTTGTATTTTTACAAATATGTTGTGTATGGCCAGCGTGGTTAAATAAATTTTTAAGTAAGCAAGTTTAATAATCATAGATTGAAAATACTAAGATGGCAAAAGTGCCAGAGGTATTTAGAACGTACGATATTACCATTTGCATTCAATCAAGCGTTACCCCACGCTGCGATAAAATGTTGTTTCCGAGTTTTGCAACCAACGTTGTGATTGGACAACTTTAAGTTTCAAATGCCAAAATAGTGATGACATGGGGGCGTATTAAACTTTGCGTTTTGCAACGTTCATTTTCTATATATCGTCATCAGAGCGTCCTGAAGGGGTAAATGGGAACTGGGACTTGCTTATTTTTGGAGTGAGAAAATGGGATTTGGGTTATTGGGACTAGAAATGAAAAACACAAAAATGGGAGAACCCAAATACCATAATAAAGACAGTTGTAGTTGAATATCTCAGAGTGAAATAATTTTAAGAACAGCTAAAGAGCAATTGTTATAAAGAATTTGTATAAAAAAGTCGAGGAAAACTGAATTTAACCAACTTATGGCTCAATGAGTTCATTTTTCTGCTATTGCAAGTAGTATTGCATGTAGTATTGCATGTAGTATTGCATGTAGTATTGCATGTAGTATTGCATGTAGTATTGCATGTACTATTGCATGTATTATTATTATTATAGATGCATGTAGTATTGCATGTAGTATTGCATGTATTATTATTATTATAGATGCAAGTAGTATTGCATCTATAATAATAATAATAATAATAATGATTTATTGAACAATATATCCACAAAGTGGCTCTTCACTTGTTCACCATACACACAGTACAATAAATTATGATAAAAATTTAGATATACATATTACTAGCTATATATACAATTAAGATGGAATCTAATTAAGAAGTTGTAATGCCCTAGTGTAAATAATGTTCCTAGTCTCTTTACAAAAGGTGGTAAAATCTGAACAGTTTCTCACATCTTCGGGCAATAAATTAAAAACATGCGAAGCTTGGTCTTGTAACGTATTGCTAATCAGTGGTCTCTCTAACTGTAAACCATTGCTAGATCTTAAACATTTGCTGTGTTGTGATCTAGACCCCCTTCCTTTCAAGGCCCTCTTATAAATTCTTCTGGCCAGTTTTGCCATTTGGTATTTTTGTTCTATTGTACTTCAAAATACCTAGCATATGTTTCAGTTGTCAATT